GATAGAAAGTTGAGCGGCGAGAGGTAACGCGTCCCAGAGAAAATCTGGCATATGGCGCGTCGAAAACGCGTTGTTTTCGCCAGATTATTGGTGTCAAACTTGTTCAAAAAGGAAAATAAAGGCTGCTATGCAAAAGCAAAAGCGTTGAACGCGTCAGCAACAAGGGTGAAAGGCCAGCAGCCACCTGAGCAAGGAGACCATACTTTCTGACTGAGTCGGGTAAAGATCGCGCACACCCCCGCCTGTCACCTGTTGCCATTCATATCTGCCGCTTCCTTTCTGTGGTATGGTAACGAGACCCTGAGTGCTCCCTGAAACGCCGCCCGAGCTCCATTGGCGGTGCTCGCTTCAGCTCGCTTCCCTGACCCTGGCCGCGACCACCGGACGATGCCGGAAAGGCCAAAATAACTCCGCGGTAACTTGGCGCGCGCCACCATGGGCTCTACTACTCCCACCAACTTTGGAGTGGACTTGCGATGGAAATGCGTACCCTCTCACGACTGGCCCGTATCTACTCACGGTCATGGTGATGCTCGCCGCTTCACGGGCAAGCCGCCCGACGGCTCACAACGATCTCCGCCCGCAATCAATCACATATTATCACATCTACGGCATGATCACTCATCAAACCCGTGCTTGTCAACAAGGTCACGCCCTCTTCCTGGTTGTCTCCGCTCCACCACAATCCCTCTCGTCGTCACCCTCGACAACCTCTCTCTTCGATGTCGCCGCCTCCATCCTGCTCGTATGTTTGCCTTCTTCTGCATTCCTCCCTCGTTACTGACCAACACTTTCTAGCGTGTTTTCTGTGCCCAAAACTGAGGCCGCCGCCCAGCGAAGGCGTTCTCAAGCCCAGCCAACCCATCAACGTCCTTGAACTTGGTCTGCAGAGCCTCGCTCGACTCAGCCATGGTTAGTACCTCACCTTCCTCTTCTTTATTCCCTTCACTGACCGTGTTTTTTCAGTCGTCTGCGACTTCTTGCAGACGGGGAGCGCCAACTTGAGCTTGGACTTGGCAGTCAAGCCCCCTTCCGCTCCTTCAAATTCTTACGCGGCGACGTTTCCACGATCACGACGGCATATACGGCAGCGAAAATTTACACCACCACCACACGACACTGACCCACTCGGAGCGTAGCTCTCTTCAACTCCTCCGAGTCGTCATTGTTGTTGAAGACTATGGAGAGCGCCAACTTGAACCCTCGACCTGCTTCAGGCTACCGTGACCAACAGCTCCACCACCATGCATGTCCTTGCGCTTGGCACCGCCGCCGCCTCTGCCAGTGGCTCGTAAGTCTTCCCTCTGTTGGACTCTCCAGCGTGCTAATTTGTTTCTTTACAGACAGGCCTAGCGAACGCTGACCGTGGCTTCAAGCGGGTTGTGACTGCCCTCTGGCTCTGCATCAAGGGCTTGTTTCCCGATATCAACATCCTCCTTGCCCGTTGTTCTAAGGCGGGGCCCTTTGGTGCCGGTTCAAACCAAGGTTTGTGGACTTTTACTTGCTTTCTTCACTTGGTTGATGTTCCGTCTTCAGAATCAACCCTTTGCGCTAACATTCCCTTTCGGCGGCGTCAATCTGCTGCGACCATCCCCTCCGCCAGCAGCAATGTGCGAGTCCAACGACCTCCCACTCGTATTCTTGGCCATCATGACCTGAGCTACTCTCGACAGGGATGCGAGGCATCATCACTGTTCTCGACGCAGCTGTGAGTACTTATGCCTTTCCCTTTTGATCATTTGTTCATCTTCAACAGAAACCAGCGCGCTAAGTGTCATCCCGAGTAAAGCTTTCAAGCTTTTGCTCTGCCGCTGTTGTTGGGACTGGTAAGTTTATTCAAGCCAGCTTTCTTGCCATTGTGACATCGTTTTTCCAGTTGTCTTGTCCCTGTCTATGCGGCGTCAGCACTCTGGCTTGTGAAATCATGCATCTTCTCTGGTGCTCGTGTCCGCGATGGGGGGAACCTTTGCAACACCTTGTGGGTTGATCTTCACTGCTGTATGCTCTCAGCAGCTCACCACTCGTAGCTCTGTCCGTCCCCAATACCGCTGTTGCCTGCGTCTCAACGCTCCGCCATGCCAACAAATTTGCCGGCTGCCTTGGCGAAATTTAGGGATCGCCAGACGATTACGTAAGCAGTTCGAGCCCCACCCTAGGACGAGTAATAACTGACTTTTTTTTCAGGATTTTTGACCCGCCAGAGGCACATAGCGCCTCTCGCACAGCGTTGTCAGATGCTGAGGATTTTGCCTCAGCACAGCTCGCAGTTGCCTGCCGACTTGACCGCTTGATTTGGAGACCTCAAGCCCATTACGTAAGCGGTTCGACTCCCAAACAAAACATAATAATTAACTGACTTTTTTTCCAGGATTTTGACCCGCCGGAGGCACATCCTGTCCCTACCGCAACCACCTCGGATGCTGGGGCTTTTTGCCTAGCATCCCTCGCTGTTCCACGCTGATTGTACCGACACTGTCTGCATTACGTAAGCAGTTCGATCCCCGCCAAAGCGTGAAAAATAATTGACTTTTTTGTTCAGGTTTTGACCTGCCGGAGGCATGTTCAGTTTCATCGGATGCTGGAGCTTGTGCTCCCACATTCCTTGTCTCCCACCTCCACTTCCTCGGTGCAGGTTATTTCCATATTTGGATTCTGCCGAGCCCGGCATCGGCCGCCGCTGATCCCATCATCAAATATTGATGGTATTCTGGTGAGCATTCTGGCTGACTTTTTCCAGCATTCAAGGCTCACTTTTTTCACAGGGTTTTGCCACCGGAGGCGCACAAGCCGCCCTGGACTTCAAAGCTTTCGGCTGTGTGGTTTCCTCACAGGCCCCCCTGCCCTGCCAGTTGACCACGGGTTGATGCCATCATCACGATTTGATGGTATTTTGGTGAGCATTCTGACCCGCTTTTTTCTGATTCAAGGCTCACTTTTTTGCAGGGCCTTGCCGCCGGAGGCGCGCATGCCGCCCCCGGCCTGCAAAGTTCTCGGCTGTGTGGTGTACACACGGCCACACTTCTCTTTCATGTCCCGCCATCATCTCCTGCCTCCCGGCCGGCCCTCACTTCCTCGCGTTGACCATGGACTTCCGGCCAACACGCCGAACAACCTTCCGAGTCTGACCATCACCGAGCTACACCCTTCGCGACAACTCTCCCTCACGGCGAACACGCTCAGCCTGTTAATGCCGGCGTCATATTCCTGGTCCGGCCTTGCTGCATGCTGCCATCATCCCCTGCGATAATATTGGCCATCACATCCTTCAAGCTCGGCCTATCCTTTCCCAAACATACCACCATCATCTGGCGAGCGGCCAGCCGGCCTGCTCTGCGTCCTACCCTTTCCGAGTCAACCGCCCACCCTCCTTGGCCATCAATTTCGATGGTCCACCCGGCGTTGACGAGATGGATGGGCCGAGGGAAAGTTATCATCCGGCACCTGGTTGCCCGGCCACCTGCGTCACGTTCCCTCCCGGCCCGGACCCCTCAAGGTGGGCATCAACCGCCTGCTCGGGGAGCTGGCCCGCGTTCCCTTTCTTGCCGGCACGTCCTTTGGCTACTGTCTCCGCGGGATACATGTCTGCGTTCACTCAGCTCTTACTACAATCCCCCCCGTTCGGCCGTTGCTTTCATACCCACCGTGACAATCGACTCCAAACGTGTCATTGTGCCGAGGCGCCTTGACGCCACGGGCCGAGGGCTGTGGTTGGCGGATTAGCCTCGCGACGGCGGACTTGCTCCACCTTCCCGCGGGATAATCTCGGCCATCAACTTCCTGGGACGCCGCGGGCGGGCAATTTCTGGAGTTGGAGGGCAACGAGATGGTGGCCGCGTCGTTTCCTGCCACGTTCACTCAGTCCGGACCTTCCTTCCCGACTGCCCGCCAACCTTTGCAACGACTCAGCCGTGTCACATTCTGTCACCGGCCTGCTGCCTTCAAGTTTGCGGCCGCTCCACCCTCTGGCTGCGCGTGTCACACCTCCTGCCCGCCCGACTCCTCCGCTTGCCGGCCCGCCCTTTGCCGTCGACTCCCGTCTTGCCCCTCCGGTTCTTTGCGACAGCTTCGGCAACACGTCTGGCCATCAACCAGCTGAAAGCGTGGACTTGGGCACATTTTGGCCGTTGCGCCGTTACTTTGTAAGTGCATTTTAGTGTTAAAGAGCTCAATTTTTTTGCAGGTTCGAACCGCCGGAGGCCCGCGTGAGGGAGGGCGATGAACGGAGCGTGCTTAGCGCTCTGTCGCTGTTGCGGAGGACTTGGTGTCGGAATGAATGAACCGGGCCGGGTGGATCAAACGCGCGCCGCGACGCGTCTTAGTAGCGCCTGGATGTTATCAATAGGCCAATACATGACTTTACACTGTTCTATGCCTGCCCGGAGTGCCCGAAAGTTACTCCAAAACCCTGTCTCCCCCAAACGATGCCCGAGACTGCCGTTAGACGGGTCCAAAACCTCAAATTTTCTCCCCCAGTAGGTTTAACTCGTGACTTTTTAGAGGTCCGTGCGCGAGGAAAAGAGGTATATTAGAGGGGTCCCTCGCTCGCGCGACTTGGCGAGCGAGCGCGACTTAGCGTTGGAGCGCGGCGTGCAAGCGGGGGTAACATTTGACATGTGAAATATTTGAGGGTGGAGACGCATACACACATGATCTGCGCTGCACGCGTGCTGAAGAGAGTTATACTACTAGAAGAAGGGCAGACGCACGGCATAGCGAATTGAACGTTGAAGAGAGAAAGAAGGGATAGGGCTTATGTGATCGACGCGCTGGGTCACGATGGCAATTTATACGAGTCACAGACAATGACACCATCGATAAGATCGTAATCTTGGACAAAGTGTTTCTTGTTCTTTGAACAGTGCTTCTTGTTCCTTGTGCAGTGCTTTTTGTTTTTTGTACAAGGTCTTTTGTTCTTTGTACAATTACAACTAGATGTACATTTGTTCGTCGTCAAGCCAAATAATGCCTCTTCCCAGGTCACAACCCCTTCAGGAATGCGCTCACGACTTCCCAGTATTTCTCTGTTTCGGTCGATCATCGGAAGATGACCCGCCCGGCAATCTCGGCGGGTCGACCTTGGCAGCTGGCGTAGCTTCAAGCCATTTTTCGCGCAATCCTTTCATTCCAGCTGCAACTTTACCCCCGCCATCGAGCTCGCCGGCAACAAGCAGCACTTTGGTTTTGACATCGCTGTGCAGCAAATCGACGCCGTCTTCTGAAAGCGGTTTGAGTAGGTCGTCACGACATGAGAGCGCCTGCTCCGAGCTCGAAAGCGGGGATGCTGGTGGTCGCAATCATTTTCTTGATTGTTTCTGTCCTTCCGTATCTCGAACCTCCTTGTCCACATTTGGACGGAGAAGGGAACCAGCGGTCAACAGTCACACTAGCTAGCTCCTCGATGCCTTTTGTTTTTGCAAGGGCAATACGTTCTTGCCATGCTTCCGCATTCCCTGGAGCAGTTTTGGGCCCCGTATCACATGAAATAACGCCTTCTGTGAGCGTGGGATAGAGTGCACCAAAGGCTAGAGCGGCAGCACCCCTTGCGAGACACCGATGACGCATTTGACCCTTTTCCTGACGGAATAAGAATGGAAATGAGATGAGCCAGATCATGTGCGAGGAGAGGGATAGTGCACGGCGCTGCCGAAACAGACGACTGGCCATGACCGCGTTGAGAATGGAGGAGGATGTTGTAGGTGCCTTTGAACGGCCAATTCGGGGCTGACGAAGCCGGTGCAATTATGTGGGACAATCCATTCCCACATCCCCTCGTCCGTGAGCAATGAATTTGAGAAGGCAATCCAAGGAGCATTGGGGTGGGTGACGAGTGTTATGGCATGAATGTTGACGTTGGGCGCCAGCTCGATTGTGTGTTCAGTGCTGTCGACTGGCCATGGAACGACATCGTCAGAAGATCCGGCTATGTCCAAAGAGACCAAGAAGGCGAGACCATGTTGTAGGTTGCGACCACTGCGGCAGCTTCAACCAGCAAATCTGCGACATCGAGATTAACACTCGATGCAAGTGGTTGGAGGTGCTGTTGTAAATCGGACATGACATCCTGCGGAACCTTCACGTGTACAGTGCTGTGGTCGGCAAAGGCCAGGGCAGCGGAATAGAGAGGGGAGAGGACATTCAGTTGAGGGGGGTGGATAGTATCGCGAATGGCCCAAAGTTGAGAAGTCGTGAGGCCATGGGAACGGCCAACATGCTCATGGTGAATCCATTCGTAAGCTGCATGATTTCTTGCGGCGACTCGGATCTCGGACGTCGCCTGGACCAACTGCACATTGGCCCTCCGACTTGCGTATCACGCTGACGACTTCGCCGCTCATAACGACGACGAGGGCAGCGCGCACGTCGCAACGACGAGCTCATTGCGCAGACCACAAATGGATCAGCCCCAAACTCACGCGCCAGTCAAGTCTCAGCAAAAGTCAATATTCATCAACTAGAGAACAACAAAAAAAACAGTAACAACTCTGCAGTAACATGAGTCTCAGAGGACAACGGACAAGAAAAGCTTACCTTGCTCCCAAAGCAAGTCCACCATTACTTCTCGCCACCCTCGAGCAAATAAATGCTCGCGCACAATCTGCAGCGACGACATCAGCTTAATCATAAAATGAGCGTCCAAACTCACCGTCGCACAGTCAATCGCGGCCTTGTCGTCATCAGCCCCAATTTTTCCAACGGCTATCGGGGACAACGGAAAAGCGCGTTGTCTGGGAAGCAGAAAGAGTATGTCAGCGCCGCCAAATCGAGTCAAAGTACTCACATAGATTCATTGCACTCCCACGTTCAAAGCAACAAGAACTCTGGAAATATCAGTGTTGCCGACTGGTACCGCTCGCGAGTGACTACTATCCCGCATCCATCTTGAATAACGGTGCTTGTCAACGTTGTTATCCAGACTGTCCAGGCGTGTCAGCGGAAATAAAGGGAGTCGAAGAAAAGTACTAACGCGCAAGTACAAAGCTGCCCTCTACTAAACACGAATAGACGCAAGCTGTTCCGGGTGGCGCAGCCAAACTCTCGTTTGAGACCAGTAGTACCCGCCGATAAAGGATACAAACCGTAGCAGACTCCCATTTAAACATGTCAGCGAGAACGGAGTCAACGACAAAGTACTTACCGCGCAACTGGGCCCGGTCAGATTACCGGGTCGAAGCGCCGAGACTGACATCACAGTTCGATGCAGGCGCAGAGGAATGGGTTGAAGGACGGCAGTAGAGCTGGTAGAAGAGTCAGAGTTGAAGCAAATGAAGTCTAAATAGTAGATGCTTACTTGGGCCGTGGCAGCGTTGAAGTTGCCGACGCAAGCGCTGGGACGAGGCAGCAGCCTCAATGGCCCGCAAACATATGGAGCCGCCAGAAAGCAAGCCGCGGTGGTCAGCCAAGACGGCGAGTTCGGCCCGGGTTAGCTTGTTCCCTGGGCTCGCAACAAGCCAGCGTTCGCGACCAGCTCGGGAAACAGCGTCAAGGCGGGCGCGTGTTGGTGGTTAGAAGAAGGTACAGCCTCAAGCAGGCACGTGCTCGTTGACAGCGGCCTTTTGCCGTCATCTTCCACCCGCCCGGGCTCGAAACGGCCCTCTGTCGTGCTCTCAAACTCACAACGGACTCTTTCGCTGCCGCGAACGGCGAGCACACTCAGCATCTATCGTCGGCACTATCTCAGGCTAACTCGCCACTCTTGGGCATATCTCGCAAGTCCGACGCCAACTCCCAAGTCACCACTGCCCACCAAACAAGCCGCATTGCCGCCAGCTATGACCCAAGTCACCAAATCGCCGGCTTCGTCTCCCGCGTTCAATGCCGCTCTTCCACGCCAAGGTCTATCTTGCCCTGAATATCACAGTAAGTCTTTGCAAATAGTCTCCAGCTGCGAGCGAAAATGCTTACGCTGACGACTATACTCCAAACCCGCCGTACCGACGTATCTCACCAAAGCCCCAAGCTGCTTCATCGCCGGCAATTAGCAGAGCCAGCCCGACTGCGCCAATTCTGGCCGAAGAGACCTATAACGAGTTAATGGTCCAAGACACAAGCCTAAATCGCCATAACACGTACTTGGGCAGTCAAAAATGGCCTCTTTGAACCCCGCAACGACTCCAAAGCAACCGTAAATCGCGCCAAAACTGCAGTCAGGTCAGTACAAGCAGAACGGCAGGAATTGAACGCGCGATAACGGCCCCTTCTCTCAGCGCGTTCAAGTTGGCGGGTAGCTCTGGCGAAAACTAACGTGTGCTGCGAACACTACAACAAGGTCAGCAAAACTCGTGAGTGAGCGAGATGAAGCGAACGAGCTGGATAAATGGGATGGGAGAGTCGGCGGGAATGCGGTCTGGGGAACGGTAAGCATGCTCAGCTACTTGAACGAGAGAAAAAGCGCGCTCACCTATTGTCAGTGCACAGTTTTCGCCTCCAAGCGCAAGGCCATGCGCTAACACCCGTCGTCGACGATGCCCAAACAAACTACAAGATTGTCAGCAGGACGGTGGGAAATGAGTGAAGGGAATCAAACAAGGGTGGTCGGCGGGATATGGGAGTCGACCACAACTAGAGAACGGTAAGCAGGATACACAACGATGGGGGGAAACTGTACTTGCAAAACCAACGACACGCGCCACCGTCTGCAAACTCTAAGAGCGTCAGCACAACGTTGCGGGACGCGAGCAAGTGAGGCGAATTAGGATAATCTGGGGAACGGTAAGCGTGCTCAATGACGACGAGAGGATGATTTACTGACTGTTCAGAAGAGAACAGCGATGAATCGAAGGCTGAGTGGAACATGTGAGGAATGGGGTTGGGATTGGAAAGGGACGAGCAATGACACGTGAGGTTGACAATCGAAGATGGTGGGAGGAAAGAAAGAGGGGGTTGCGCAACAGTTGAAGGCCACGGCCTTATATACTCTTAGCGAGTGGGGCTTCCATAACGTACACCGCCCGGGCTGGACAGTGTCGTTATCGTTGCAATGATCATTTCTGGAATGGATGAAATGTCAGTCTAGAATGCGTAAGCGAGCTATTTTGAAACGTGGGCTAGCTAGGGAAAGTACTTGCAGTATCTCTGAGGCAGAATGTGAATAGATTAAGCACAGAATGGGTGCTCAACTCATGAAATAACAAACCAGGGATCGAGTCGAAACTGGGTTGGGAGAGAGGCTTGCGAGACCCCAATAGACGCGGCACAACCTACAACACGGCTATACCTGTCAAATGGAGTCGTTGCAGTGCTTCGATCGCCCGCCCGTGCTTGGTAACACGGGAATCAGCATGCGCGGCGGCAATATTTGGCCAAGATCGTACGTTGACGACGACTAGTGAACAATCAGGCAACTGTTCAGGGAAATGAAACTTCATTCCCACCTTCCGGCACATTTAATCGGGCAATATGGGCCACACTTGCTGCAGCGATGCAAAATCTGGATATTGCAGTTGCGACGCAAACAGTTGTGCATCGCAAGGGCTGATAAGGCTCGGATATAGGTGGTAGACCAGGACTTCATAACCAATGACTTCCATCCGATAAGATAGTAATCTGCCCAGACAGATGTTTGCTGACTGCTTTGAACAGTCTTTATTATATAAGGTGCTTTTTGTTTTGTACAAGGTCTTTTATTCTTTGTACGATTACAACTAGATGTACATTTGTTATAAGATAAAGATCAAACAATGTGCACCTCTTCCAAGATCCCCATTCCCTTCCAGGAAATCTTCGTGACTTTGTTTCTCACTGAGTGATCATATGGAAGATGACCCGGCATACGGCTTTAATCTCGTTGCTGGTGTTGCGATAATCTGGGGAACGGTAAGCGTGCTCAATGACGACGAGAGGATGATTTACTGACTGTTCAGAAGAGAACAGCGATGAATCGAAGGCTGAGTGGAACATGTGAGGAATGGGGTTGGGATTGGAAAGGGACGAGCAATGACACGTGAGGTTGACAATCGAAGATGGTGGGAGGAAAGAAAGAGGGGGTTGCGCAACAGTTGAAGGCCACGGCCTTATATACTCTTAGCGAGTGGGGCTTCCATAACGCACACCGCCCGGGCTGGACAGTGTCGTTATCGTTGCAATGATCATTTCTGGAATGGATGAAATGTCAGTCTAGAATGCGTAAGCGAGCTATTTTGAAACGTGGGCTAGCTAGGGAAAGTACTTGCGAGTATCTCTGAGGCAGAATGTGAATAGATTAAGCACAGAATGGGTGCTCAACTCATGAAATAACAAACCAGGGATCGAGTCGAAACTGGGTTGGGAGAGAGGCTTGCGAGACCCCAATAGACGCGGCACAACCTACAACACGGCTATACCTGTCAAATGGAGTCGTTGCAGTGCTTGATCGCCCGCCCGTGCTTGGTAACACGGGAATCAGCATGCGCGGCGGCAATATTTGGCCAAGATCGTACGTTGACGACGACTAGTGAACAATCAGGCAACTGTTCAGGGAAATGAAACTTCATTCCCACCTTCCGGCACATTTAATCGGGCAATATGGGTGAAAGCCTGCTGCCAACAGGAAACACTGAGGGAGACACGCAGCAAGTCAACAGGACCGGGCTGTGGATTCCAAGGACGATGAGGTACAGGACAAGAATGACTACTGATGGTCACACAATGAGTGACACTATGCGTGAGTGTCACACAGATAAACCAGCGGGTTTACACCCTCCCCCTCTTCAGAACACAGAGCACCCTCCAAAGCAATCCAGCACATAAACCCTGAAGACAACTAAAATAAACCCAACACCAGAGAACCAAACCAGATTCGCAACTTGCATATTGCCACAATACACATGGAGACACATCATGTGGGTCGTACCAAGAGCAGGATGCAGGGAGGCAGCCAAAGGAAAGACAGGGGTGTTGGCAAGACAGTTATGAAGAACCAGATAGTGGTTGCTGAATCAGACACCAGTGCATGGAACAGCATCACGCAACTCGAGCCAGAACAACAGACCTGGGGTGGCCAGAAAGAAGAAGGCGATTAAAGCTGAGGATATAATACCAGGGACAGGTGGAGCAAGCAAAAGGGGAGTTGAGGGGTGGCCAGAAGACGAAGAACCAGGGTAGTGAAACCAACAGGTAGATGAATTTCTGTGCCCAATAGGATGTCAGGACAGCAAGGCACATAAGTCCAAAGAGGGCCAGACACCAGATGAAACCAGACAGGACACCAGGACAGCAAGGCACACAAGTCCAACGAGGGCCAGGTATCAGGCGGCAGCACAGAAGCGCATCAACAGGAAGGAATCCAGATGGCGAGAATGAAGAAGATGATTAAAGTTCTGTCGTAACATAGAGGAGAAAGACAGTTTGGGTTACCAAA